CAACTACTCATAATCATTCCATTTGAAATGATTCGATTTCGACATTATTCCGGACTTGGGAAAGTTTGAGTGAGGTCAAATATCTTAACGCGGGAACGCAGGATTAATATGGCACTATTTTCCATTGCAGGTGTGGTCATTCTTTCTAACTCACTCCTTCTCATGCTAAACATATTCTAATGCCGGACTAAATTTTATTTTAAATAGTGCTGAATATGATACTAATGATTGTTAGGTTGAACAAGTCAGTATAGACATTAGTGTAACCTTTTAATGCAGATGTAGTCACTACCTGGTTGTTACCAATTTTTAAATACAAGCACTCGGCAGGTTGACCCAATACCAAGTGTGCCTGTTCTAACTTTCGTTGTCACTTCTATTACTCATTTGTAAATGCTAGATCATACAGATTCTATTCCTTAATACGAATCAGTATAAACACGTCATAGACCCTACGAGAAGACAAACAATCAATTACAGGAATCTGAGTCCCCATTTAAGATGAGGCGGTTGAGGTATTTGTACAAACTAATGATACCTTTTTATTTGATCTCCTGTTGATTACCATTTCAGAGTATAACATATCCGGTTGTATGTATCTACTTCTACGTATCTTAAATTGAACTATTTCGGAATTTTATGGTTGAAAAATCAATCTCAACAATTCTAATTATCACACAACTCCATAGAAAATTCATACGACGGACTACACTGCAAACCGTACACGGAAAGCTTCTCGCAGATGTATTGAAATTAAAGATTGGTGCCGGATACGACTACCTACACTAACTCTATCACTTGCTTCTGGTAGGCACGCAATCCAGTGGGCATTTCACAACCAGGTAGACCATTCGGATCTCCCACGTGACCTAGTTCACCCATCCCATACACAGCAACACATGCAGGTGAAGTCAGCCGTTCTATCAACGGCCTCTAAAGAAGAAACTAAAATTATGAAGTACAACACGAAGAACAGCAACACAACTCGACGGAAAAGATCTGGATGAGCTAGAAATGTGCAACATACTTGGGAAACATAAATAAACAAGGAGATTCTTAGTCATGAATTAGCAAATCGAATACAGGATCACAACAAAAGTCTTCGGTGTTAGATAGAACACACGCTGCGGAAGTCACCAAACTGCTTCTTAGGTCAAGCAGCGACTTGATGTTGTGAACGGAAAGGAAAAGAGGTCGACGGAAGAGCACGCTGCGTTGGGAATCGAAGGTAGATGTCAAGAGAACGAGTAGCATTTAGGAAGTTGAGAGAAGTTGAGATGATGACACCAGAGCAGTGTAGGCTAAGGAATCACGACCGAAGGTTTATTATAAATGAAGAGTCAGTAAATATACATTTCGGTTAATTCTCATTAGAAACCAGTTATTTACTGTGGCGTCTGGCACTTAATTTCGTGACACCTGGTTTGTTATACCAAGTAATTACAGAAAATTTTGTATTACTGTTTAACATTGTATAATCACTTGTAACTGATCTTTGGTTGAATAGTATTTCTAAACTGTACACAAATGGAAGCGATTCATCCCACTGTTGAACTTTTGCAGCCTAGAGGAAAAATTTTGGCTGTTGGTGAAGGCGTTCTACCAATCTGTCAGCTTGTTGGTGGTAGGCGGGCGTTCGTACTCGTGTGATTCTTAGTTTTAAATAAGAAAGATTAGTTCAGCGAAGAGTTCTCTTTTCGGCGAATTCATTTTTAAATCTGTACAATCACAAATATATATACTTATTTTTACAGGATGATAATAGTACTGATAATAAACTTGCTATGCATGGTGACAGTGAGTTTAAATAAACAAGTATTAAAAATTTTATAAAACATGGAGAGTTTGATTAAATGTAATCGGAATGTTCATGGAAATAAAAACAAACCAGTTGGGGGTAGAAGATTTAAGGGGTTTGTTTTTATTTCCATGAACATTCCGATTACATTTGATCTCAATTTCAACATTTTATCTTATCATGCTGAGCCATCCTTTCCCAATGATAATTTCCCTATCTATGTTTTGATAAATATTTAAGCCATTAACAATCAAACGATTATCAAACTCTCCTTTTTTTATAAAATTTTTAATACTTGTTTATTTAAACTCACTGTCACCATGTGTAACAAGTTTATTATCAGTACTATTATCATCCTGTATAAATAAGTATATATATTTGTGATTGTACAGCTTTAAAAATGAATTCACCGAAAAGAGAACTCTTCGCTGAACTAATCTTTCTTATTTAATGTTTTAATGGGTGTATTCCGTTTATTAAAAATTCTTAGTTTTGTTGTCTGGCAACAAAAATGTCCATATTTGAACCGGCGTGCACGGTCTGTACTGATAATTGAAGGTCAGGCGAAGTTTTCTTCCGTTTTCCAACAGATTGTGAAACAGAGGATTGTGTGAGGTATGATATATATCCAAAAATAAGCTTAAATGAGCCTAACATCACAAAAGGAGGGAGGGTGGAGTTACTGACCAGCAAGCATTGATGGTGAGGGCGATGACTTCAATCCACCCGTGTTTGTGGGGCAGAACATTTTGTATGTATCAGGCTCTCTATGATTGAGCATAAGTCAATCAATCTGTGATATAGATTATCTTCCTACGCTCACCACTCAGACTCATGTTTCCAATTTTATACTGGATTAGCTATTCTACTAAGACAACCTATAACATGCTAACTCGGACTTTTACACATGGATTGTGTGGCTGGCATCGGATGAAAAAAAAGAAAGAAAAAATCAGACAATAAAAGATATAGTTATTATTATTTTCAACACTTCACCCTCTATATGCACACTCCCTTCTAATAAACAACTTCCCCTGTACCAACCTTAACTTCCCTTCCTTCATATGAGCTTACTCCAACTTGTTAAACATCACAATTCATTGTTCTTTATTACTACATTCTCTTGAATGGAGCCTCTGAGTTCATTTCACTCTAACAAGAGATAATATGAATTTAATCTAATTTATTATACCTCTGTCTGTTAAGCAACGTTTGGAGTCCATATCCAAGTGCCTTGCTGCTCTGTTGTTTCTCTTTTTTATTTTCTTCAGAATCTTGCTCCGAGAGCACAGCTACGGAACTTCTAACGTCTGAAACAAGCTTGACATATGCGTCAACTCAAGGCCATGGTTTATAACAAGCGCTCTACGAGACTACTTTATAACAACTATAGACTTAATAAGTTAGGAAGCATGCTATGCTCCAACAAATGTTATAATTTGTAGATCATGCCTGTAAAAATGGCGTGTACCTGCTCATGCAGAAATATATTATTATTATTATCGCTGTTCATTGTTTCGGCAGTAATGTCCATTTATGGTGCTACGAAACGGTCTACATAAGTCAAGAGATTATGATGTCCATTTGAATCTGGTGAGGGTGCTACTAAATGCAAATGACCATTGTCGGAACGAGCTTCTCAGGTTTTGAATGAGACCATGGGACATTTTTGTCTAACGACCCTAGATTTCTTGAGGACTACATAGGGGGTTGTTCACTCACTCATGTTTTTATTCATATAAGGTCAGCGATATGATTCTATTATGAGCTCGATGGTTGCTCGAGCACCTGGGTGAGGGAACCTGTGACCGTTAATCAGTGATCTGTCTCTTCAGTAGCAATATTTCTGTTTCTGAGTCATGTTGCACTATGATGTTGTTGAATAATTGACCTAAACTTTACCAGTCGGTTGGATCTTAACGTTTAAGAATAGTCTTGCTTGAAGTTTCGTAAGGTATCGAAATATCTCTAGTAAATAAACTGATTGTAACGTACCGATTGAAATCGCATGGTAGCACATTCAACAATGAGTGGAATTGTGCGCCTGTTTGTGGAAGTCAGCTTCTAAGAAGCAGAACCAGACTTCGATGCTGTCGGACCAAAATGGCATTATCTGAAGTGAGGGAGTCGAAAAGGTCTTGCTCTTAAATAATTTAAGAGTCTGTTCCGTCATGATGAGTATAAAGTATACAAATAAACTAGAAAGAATATACAAAAATACGAAAAACATAACTATGTAAGAATGCAATTTAAAAAAATATTCCAACAGGGAACATGATCACTGTTGGCGGACTGGTGAACCGGATCACATCGGTCTCGCCACTAAAGACGCCAACAGTATTAGGAGCTTGACATCGCATTAACCAGTAACACCTTATGACCAAAGTATGCCAATCCAGTCAAATAAAATATGAAGGAGTTCGAATATATATTTGGAAGCCTATCGGTATATCGAAGAATGCTTGGTCTAATCTGGATAATAGTCAAACGAGATGCGTAGTACGGCGTACCCGCTCGTGATCTGGTGCGAATATGTGACCGAACGCCTCCATCTAAGTGAGTCCGTGGAAACTAATGAGGTGAGAATCAAATATTGAAGAATTATTGATTTAATAACAGTGAGAAGTTATGAAAAAGCATATTAGTTTTCTCATATTAATTACCGAGATGCACAATAGTGAGAGAAATTTCGCACAATATGTTTTTCCATAACGTCAATATTGTTGTGAAACGAAGCAATAAAATGAAAGCAATACTTTAAATTTACATTGAATCTCGCCAATCAACGTGAGCTGAAATGACATTTATAAGAGTTTCTAAGATAGTATTATTGCTCAACCTTTGATAATTAAAGATCCACTGACTGGGACAGATGCATAAGTTTGTACTTAAGATATGTCAACCTCCAAATAACTCCAGAATTAGTTTATACTAATGTATTCGAGTGACTAAACTACCCTCATTAAAGTAATAGAACCGTATTTTAGAGCAACAAATTCGTGAAAATAAACCAAACGACTCATATTAGCACGTTCCGAAGAATGTGTATATTGAATTGAGGAAAATGGCGTTTGGGCTTACCATGATCTTATACCGCGCAGTTTCGAATTTCTTGTTCCTCAGCTGTACAAATGGCATTAAGGCGTATATCTAAAGTAAGAACATGCCCAATATTTTTGTGCAGCAGAATCGCTTTATTTAGGAGCTAAAGGACTTACGTCTTGATCCTCCAACCCAGTGTTCAGCTGGACCTATTAAAGATGATCGTAAGTCAATGTATGTTGTATTAGTTTACATTTAGTGTTTGCCTGGCAAGCCACTATTATGGGACCTGTATGTTCGTTTATTCTGTAATAATATACCTGTAGGCTGATAGTCCATATGAAGGTGGGATATTCTTCCTGGAAATACAGTTCCCCACAGACTACCCTTTCAAACCCCCTAAGGTAAGCGTTGTATTACTGTCAAACCAGCCTTGTGATAGATCAGTTTCATGACGAAGATATATCATCCGAATATAAATCTCAGTGGTCATATATGTTTAGATATCCTCCGTGGACAATGGTCTCCTGCCTTAACAATATCAAAAGGTATATATTCGTATATAAATACCTGACTAATGTTTAAATTAGTTCTACTCTCAATTTGTTCACTTTTGACGGACCCCAATCCAGATGATCCTCTATGCCCGGACGTCGCACGTCAGTACAAAACAGATCGTAAAAAATATGATGAGTTAGCTCGAGAGTGGACACAGAAATATGCTATGGGACCTTAATACAGTCACTACACAAAACATTTCGATGAACGTATTTTCTTCTTTCTTCTTGTACTCATTGATGACGTACGTGTTACATTTAATGTCGGTCGATTTTTTTCAGCCCTCGAGTAACCTTACTTTCTTATTCGATTCTTACTGGTTTGTCAGTTCTGCGTTTGTGAAAATGCTCTTAAGGTTGTTGCGAGTATTCCTTCTTTTTTCTTTTCGAACGAGACTTGTGCCGTGTTTAGTGACAGTTGGCGGTACAGTTTGGTTCACTCAGACGTTTTCATTTGTTTAAATATTTAATTGTATCAATTCACTTTACGAGAAATTCATTACTTGAGCAATTGCTGCTCGTGATACTCATCATCTAATCTTCTCAGACTTTAGTAACCTGTTTATATTTGACCAAAGCTATTAAAATTCGTATTTATTCAAGAGATTTCTTTAAGCAAAAGTCTAATTTCATGTTGGGGACAAGATTGCATCAGTGAAAGTTAAGGCGCTCATTCTCGTTCGCATGATATGCTTATTAGGTTGTATGTTTATTTGATTCACAGTACTGCATTATGATCTGAACAATTTCTTATTTTTCAGCTATTCTGAAATTCGTATAATGATTTAGAATTAGTTTCAATAGTTTATGCAGTTAAGGTGTAGATAGAAAATACTACACTGTTAATAATTGGGGTTGTTCCACGAACAGCTTTTTAGTCAATATCAAGTCTCCGTTCTATCACTTACAGCCTTCTTCCGACTGCGTATCGGTTACTTTGATAACCCTATAATTCTTTTGATCGAGTTGTACTCGATGAGACCACGCTTTGGATCACATAATTAACGAGGACGTATAAGAAAATAAAGCTGAAGTGTGTAGCACATGTTACTGTGTGGACAGTTGTTTGTTACTCAATAAGGTAATCGATAATACTTGGTGCTGACCGCAAAGCTTATTTCCAATAGTGGTTGAGAGTGTTTACAGTTTGTATCGTAACTTTACATGAATGCTGTTGTTGCCTATGCGTCGTCCTTTCGTATTCGATGGCTTATTCATTGGTACTCAAAAAGTTACAGGAAATCACAGGTCTTATAATTGATTTGCCATTTATTTGTATGCGATGTGGGAGTTCGTGGCTAGTGATACTAGGTCCTTGCCATGGTAATCGATGACGCTTCACCATTTCATTAACCGATTAGTAACCTTTGCTTAGTATCCTATACTTAACCAGGAAACCTGTGATCAGAAATCTGCAGCATATTCGTGCCCTCTACTCCCTTTATTGTTTATTTGAACACATAAATATTGGTACAAGAGGGAACCAAATATATATGCGCCACAAATAATTTTATTTGTTGTGGCTGTGATACTGCCTGGGTGCCCATACCGGAGCAGGTGGTTTTCTTAGGGGGCCACACCCCGAGCCTTCGACCTAACGGTTTGACCCACAAGGCAGTGGAGCATCGTGAGGAGATGCAGTCCCATGGTGGCCGATGACTAACGGTTGGTTCATACGCCATTTGTTCCCTCAGGATACTTGAGCTCATGTGCACCATTGGTTTGGGGTCCGGTTAAAGCGCCGGACATTCGCTTTCCGTCATCTCATTTTCGTAAACAACACCAGTGGTGTGAGAAGGCAGTGAGTAGGACTTCCTTGGCAGAAGCTATATACGCGTGGCCGTGTTGGAATACTTCGAGAGGGAGGGACGAAAAGCGAACGTCAGGCGCTTTAACCGGATCCCAAATCAATCGTGCATATGTGCTCCAGTATCCTGCGGGAACAAATGGCGTATGAACCAGTCATTAGTCACCGGTTACCATGGGACTGCATCTCCTTATGATTCTCCACTGCCTTGTGGGTCAGATGTTCAGGTCGAAGGCTCTGGGTGTGGCCCCCGAAGAAAACCACCTGCTTCGGTTTGGGCACTCGGGCAGTATCAGCCCTCACACATATTAAATCAGATCTGTGTGGTATATATGTATTCGGTGCCTATTTGTACCAATACCTGTGTTAAAATAATATAAATGTCTGCATGAATATCGTATTCTGTCAAGATCAAAGGGATTCATTATCTCATGTTGACTTCTGTGCCAAAAAATGGCCTGTTGAACTTTACTACAAATCGCTTATATTTTAGCATGATATAGTTAAGGGTATTGTTATCGGTAGACCGTATTCGAGACCTACCTCGGTACTTCTGTTTTGTTTGTTGTTAGCATTGGTTCGAAATAGTGTAATTGCAAGTAGATTTTTTTAATCTTACACCCATTTTCTCAACTCTTTTATAAACATAGACAACGAGTTTCCTCATTTGGTAGTATTTTGCCGTTGTATATTTTCTGGATAGTACTGTCGACCGATACAGTCCTTAATTTTCATTACTGTGTAGTTTTTCACCCTTCAATGTAGTTATTTCTCAATACACAATTAATTAATTGTATCTGATACTTATGGTAATGTAAGCAATTTGTAACAGGCTTCCGAGTTGATGCACATCATTTGAGATGTGATTTCTAAGCTCAAATCAATTGTTTGTTGAGATTAGAATCCACAACTTGAAATTCTACTCGTTGGTCCGCGTATCTAGAACTGGTTATCATTATTTTGTCTATCTATACCTTTAACGGTCTTGCTTGACATGTTAATTCAGGACAGACTTTAGTCTTCTGATAATTAATTTGCCTATGTCTTCATGCGAACTCGATACTTTCGTTTTTGAAGTAGGCATAGATAGAACATCCAGGGCACTCTACATTACGTTATTGGATACTGTTGGTTCTTAACAATGCAGTATGCATTTCCGAGCGTTACCAAGTCCTGTCATACTGCTAATAGCTAGATTTTAATGGACTAGCGATGCTATAATGCGAGTTGAATGTCAGCTCGAATGGAAGAATTGATAGTGGGTAGTGAGAACGGTAACGGCACATTGATGCTTGTGAGATAATTCTGTCTTAGCATGAGGTCGTTTGTACTGTCCGAATTGAAATATATATTTTATGCAATCCATGAAGTTCGTTTTGCTTATGCTTTTTCGAAATCCAGAGATTATAAGCTTCTGTCATGCGGTAATTCATCCAGGAAAATAGCCGTAATTAGAGCGCGACCGCCCATTAGTCACGTGTTTGGAGGAAGTAATTTCCTCAAAAATCTGTGACCTATTCGTGCCCTCTACTCTCCGAGATCATTTTGCAACCATAAAATGAGCAGAGGACTAATGAAGAATATGCTCGTCCTTTGGTTAAGAGACGGTTTTCCTACCTAAGCAAGGGCTAACCAACCTTTCTGAATCCTTACCGTGATTGTCATACAACAACCGACCATAGTTCGTGAGACTCCTAAGATAATTAATGTATATATGTTTAACCGGAATAATAGCTTTATAGTGAAGAGGTGTTCAGCGTTATAATTAGAATGAGTAGAATTATGGTGCCTCGAAGTAACGGTAATTTTGTCACTGAAGTAAGGGGTGTATTTCCAAATTATATTGTTGGTGCACCGAAAAGTGCAATGACATTCTACCACACCCTGACACTTGTTAAAGCCTCTTCTTCCGAATCTGAATACACAGTGTTTTAGATTCGAACAAAGCAGTCATTCTTTTTCGAACTTTTGTAGCGTAAGACTAAGACTAAAAGCAGCAACTCAAGGTCTGAGGGCGAAGTCGTACTGCTGACTGTACAGAGGTTTGACAGCAGTAAGGTGTTTCCCTCAGACAACCAGCATCTGCAACGATGCTGGCTTCTCACAAGGAAGGAAGGGGTTAGAAAAGGTTGACTCTAAAAATGTCACACCTTACCCCATGGATTTCCGTCTCCTGCGGTAAGGCCCTTTGAAGAACGGAGCTAACACATTAAAAACCTCCCACAAAAAGGCCGTGCGCGACCGGCCTCAAGCAGTTGTCCCTTGGGCTCTGCGGTCACGCACTCAGGTCGCTAAGACCAATACTAATCCGATTTCCTTTTCAGGTTCCTCAAGAAATACCCTTCCACGGTGTCGGCAACTAGGAAGTGATATCAGCCCTCATTCCCGTAACAGCATACGAGACCAAGTTGTTCACATTCAAATCCTTCCTACACCTCCTAATAACTCTCTTATCTGCACGACCAGTATCACAGCCCTCACACAAATCAATTGAGATTCGTGTGGCGCATATGTACTTGGTGCCTCTCTGTACCTATACTTATGTGTTAAAATAAATAAAATAAACTCTACGACCAACCCTTCTCACGTCCCTTTATCACCTGGCACCGCTAGTGCAAACGATTCGAGTACGCGGAACAACGAAGTTCCACGTTGTTTACTGACTGACTGAGCGTAAAGTAAGTAGACAGTTTGATCTGATAATAAATATTGTGTATTTCCCCAATGCACTCTGAATAACAATCTGGTGATATTTATTTACAATTGATTGATCACTGGATGGTGATCAGTGTTATGTGAGTCAAGTGTTTCTTAGTGCTGGTTTAAAGTGGTCACTAGTGTAAGTGATTTGATATCGCGTGCTGTATGTTAAAACATAGGACGATATTTAGAGTTAGTCGACAGGAGACGCTAGACCTAGGTTTTGTGATTCCAGGTACCGTTCAACAAGGTGTACCTTTAATGCTGAAGAAAGCTACCGGCAATCCGAATAACATGGTAGTGACATCCTTGATTGTGAATTCGGTTGTAACTCGAGATCGAATGTGTTAGGGAGGATCAGTCCGTTCAAGATGACAGGCACACTTTGTTCAAGAGTGTGAGATGTATCTGTGCGTTTCCTGCGGACTGTTTTTGGCTGCCACCTTACATGATGATACGTATATTTGTCATTTATATATGGGAGCTAATGGGGGACAAGTAATTGTAATTTGCTATCATTGTGAACAACGGAGAGAGAGAGTTGTATGATGTC